CCTCATTTAATCTACAAATTTTCTATTCCTCTAAATACGCTCCTGATGTCATGACACAGTCAATTAAAAGGAATAGACATATCCACTTCACTCTCCAAATTTCTTATTCCTTTCAATGCGCTTCAGAAATTTTGATACTGTCGATTGAAAGGAATAGATATTTAAAATTTACTCTCCAAACATTTAATTTTTCTCTATTCGCTACCAAAAATTTGAAAATATTAAACTTTGCGCATTAAGAAGAATAAGAAGTCTGAATTCTTTTCTATTGACTTAATATGTACTGGGAATAGAAAAAAATAGAAAAAATGATTATTCATCTCTCAATCTTGGATTTTCCGACGAGTTGACTCTGAGACTCGAACCCTCGACCATCATATCTCTCAACCGCACTGGGAGCGCCTTAACGCGCTCGACCAGGGGAGGTTATAAAATTTTTTGAGAAAATGTCTCTTATAATGAACACATTAAACAGATACATATATTATTTTGTTAAGTCATCAAACAGCTTTTCAGATGTTCATTATTACAAAGAGTATATTATCGTATATATATTTTTATGAACATTAATGATATTAATTAATAATTTTGTCAATTTAAATAGTTTTAAATGATTAATTGTGTTAATAAATAAAAATTATAACATTTTTTCATCTTTACAACACAAAAATGGTATTTGAATTTTAATACCTAATTTTAATGTGAAGTTTATTGACTTCGACATTTTAATTTAGAATGACATGGACATGAACTTAAATTTCAATCAAGTGAATTCTGCATACATTCCAATTTTTTCGAAAATAAATTAAGTAACAATGTTGATATAGCAAATTTTTTTAACAAACTAATGTAATTTATACAATGCTAATACTTAATCAGCACTCAATTTTTTACCAGAATTTTCTTAAGCTTATGGAAATATTTCCATATAATATAAATATATAGTTCAGGTCTCATATATTGACTAATATTATTAAAATTCTATTTTACAGAATATTCAAGTATAAAAATAATTTCCCGGTAAGAGGCGAATAATTGAAAAGAACTCAGAGTTCCAATTCTTTTGAATGGGAGCATTTACGTTTTTATTCAATTCCTCGATGAAGCAAAAAAAAGTAGAAAAATCTATTCTTCTTAATTGACTTGACAAAATTTATACTCTAAATTATATACATATTATTCTTAACAACCTGACGCTGTCAACTGTAAAACATAGAAATGCCTCATTTATTCTCCACATTTTCTATTCTTCTGAATGCGGTCCAAAATGCGACATTTAAAATTTACTCTCCAAACATTAAATTTTTTTCTATTCGCTTCCAAAAGTTTGAAAATAAGAAACTTCGCGCATTAAGAAAAATAAGAAGCCTGAATTCTTTTCTATTGAGTTATCTCTACTGTGAATAGAAAAGAATTTATTTTTTATATATTTTGATGTTGAATGAGGAATTGAGTAAAAACGTAAATTCACCCATTCAGAAGAATTGAAAATGATCAACTAGTTAAATTAGTTAGTAATTAATTATTACTTATATTCTTTTAAAATCTTAAAATTTATATTCATTTTCTTTCGCTTCTTATAATATTTAAAAAAAAATTGAAATGATTAGGAATTATTAATATACTCGCCAGTTTTTTCATTCCTTTCAATACACTTTTAGAAATCTGACGCAGTCGATTGCAAGAAATAGAAATATTTAATTCATATTACAAAATTCCCATTCCTCTGAATACGGTCCTAAAAACTTGACTCAGGCGATTGCGAGGCATAGAAATACTGAATTTATACCCTAAATTTCCTATTCCTCTGAATATGCTCTTAAAAACCTGACGCAGTCAATTGCAAGGCATAAAGATACTTCATTTAATCTAAAATTTTCTATTCCTCTAAATACGCTCCTGATTCCTCTAAATTCCTCCTTGACACAATCAATTAAAAGGAATAGACATATCCACTTCACTCTCAAAATTTCTTATTCCTTTCAATGCGCTTCAGAAATTTTGATACTGTCGATTGAAAGGAATAGATATTTAAATTTTACTCTCCAAAAATTTAATTTTTCTCTATTCGCTACCAAAAATTTGAAAATATGAAACTTTGCGCATTAAGAAGAATAAGAAGTCTGAATTCTTTTCTATTGACTTACCTCTACTGGGAATAGAAAAGAATTCATTTTTCTGATATTTTGATGTTCAGTGAGGAATTGGGTAAAAACGTAAAACCGCCTATTCAGAAAAATTAAAAATTCTTAACTTCTGCTCTATGTCTGCAAACTTTCAATTTTTCTCTATTCCTCGCTTCTTACCGGGTTGACAAACGCTTCGTCTAAATAATATTATTTTAGCATCTAAATTTAATTTTTTGAAGACATTTGGATATACGACACCTTTAGGAACTTTAATTACTTTTTCTAGTGGAGGTTCAGGCGGTTTAATAATTTCTTTTATTGGTAATGGTGGTTGAAAATTTAAAATTTCCTGTTCTTTTTTAAATTTCCTATATTCTTCCAAAGGTAGCCAAGTTTGACCCTGTAGAACTTTTTCCTCGGCTAATTTCCTATTTTTTGCTCTCCTTTGTTTTTTTGATAAGTTCTTTTTTATAGAAAAATAACCTTGATGGAATTCTGACACTATAATAATTAAAAGAAAGAGAAAAATTTGTTTATTTAGTTAAATTTATTGTATATATGAGAGATTCTTTTTCAATCGCCCCAGCCCAAAAAGTCAATGTTCTGGGATTGGCTTCATACTTTGGTAAATTGTTGTCCTATATGATAGTAATAAATCCCTAAAATATAAACTCATTAAAAAAATATTTGTAGAAAGTAGAGGGGGTTGAAGTTTTGACGTTAAGGGTAACATTGTCATTTTTAAATCCGTATAACTATGACAAAAGTTAATGGATTTTAATTTATCTATAATGAATTTTAATGCATTTTTCACGTACTTTTCAAAAATGTATACAAAATTTAAAAAAAAAAATTTTTGACCCATTTTTTTTCAAAATCAACCCTTATTTTACGATTTTCACCCCTTCGGGTATTTTTTTTTTTTAATTTTATTTTCATTCGAAAGCTGAGGTTTTTTCCCATGAGCTATGTAAATATGAAAATGGGACAACAATAATTTTGTGAGAAACAGAATATTAATGTAGGCGGTGCCGATAACGGGTATACCTAAAGATCATCTTCGAGGATTTGGGTAGGCACCGACTGCTTTAATATTCTGTTTCTCACAAAATTATTGTTGTCCCATTTTCATATTTACATAGATAATGGGAAAAAACCTCAGCTTTCCAATGAAAATAAAAAAAAATTCCCGAAGGGGTGAAAATCGAAAAATAAGGGTTGATTTTGAAAAAAAGGGGTCAGAAAATTTTTTTTTTTAATTTTGTATACATTTTTGAAAAGTACGTGAAAAATGCATTAAAATTCATTATGGATAAATTAAAATCCATTAACTTTTGTCATAGTTATACGCATTTGAAAATGACAATGTTAGCCTTAACGTCAAAACTTCAACCCCCTCTACTTTCTACAAATATATTTTTAATGAATTTATATTTTAGGGATTTATTACTATCATATAGGACAACAATTTACCAAAGTATTAGTAGGAGATCCCACTGCAAGATTTCTACACTCATCTCTTTTATGGATGAAATTGATTTGAAATGAAAGATTTTTTTATCCTGTTTCCGAAACGCATAGGGTGCCTAACCTTTTATGGTCCATTTTTTTGATACAATAAAAATTTCTGTGAAAATTTGTTGAAATGTTTCACTCATAAGTTTTATGGATGAAACTTGTATTAATGGAAAGAACATGAAAAAAATAAGAAATAAATGATAGGTTGCCTCATTTCCAATGGTCTCGTTTCCTGGCAGCCACTTGAAAATTTCCCACTTTCTGTTGAAAGATTTCATTCATAACTTTTATGAGAAAATCCACCACCAATGTAAAGATTGATCATTTTTCTACACGATAAGAGTAGGTTGCCTAAAAGAATATTAGTTAGATTAAAATTTAATTAAAGGAATGTTGCATTCATTTAAGTTTATCAGCATAAATGCATAAAATCAGGCTTTGGATAATACCACTTTTTCAATTTTTTTAACTTATTTTTAATAAAATTCAGTTTTTGTAATTATGAAGTACAAATTAAGTTAAATTTTGTAATTTAAAATATAACATATTGGTTTATTTATTGACTTTATATGATAAAGCAGGACATAGTAAAAGAAAAAATTTTTAATTTTGAAAACTGATTTTCAAGTTTGAATTCTTTTTTAAATATTTATGAGATTAAATATTGGACAGTTTTCTATCTTAAGGGCATTTGAAACTTACGTGACGTCACGAATCATATGTTAAAATTTGCAGGTATCTAGTTTTTAGAGTTTTGAATATTTTTTAATGAAACTTGCTGTAAATTGTAAAGAGTTTTTCACCAGGAGCTCAATATTTATTTAAAAAAACTTTTTCCACTCAAAATTTCAAAAAATGCGCACATAACAGACGTAGTCTGCAACATTAGTAACAATTTACAAGTTTCATTAAAAAATATTCAAAACTCTAAAAACTAGATACTTACAAAGTTTAACATATGATTCGTGACGTCACGCACGTTTCAAATGCCCTTAATAATTTATCGAAAAAGTTTGAGAATTTTTATACAATCCAATTATGCAATAAATAAAATAATATTTCTTATAAATACTTCTCTCAAATAATTGTTTTAAGAATTTAATGTTTAGGTAATACATAAAAGTACGATTTCATAAAAAATTTTATAATTAAAATTTTTTAATGTTTTTTTAAAGAATTTCTTCCTTATGTGGTAATTTGATTCAAAAGATTATTTTCTGGCTTACAATCAATCCGAGGACTGTGAGATTAAATTTTTAAATAATGGAAAATATAGTATGTGGGAATTTTAATGCGTGAAAAATTCAATAAATAAAATAATTTTTTTAGATATACTTTTGCGGAAATATTAAAATGAAGAAAAGTGAGTATGAGTTACTGAAAACACATAATGATTCAAGATTTGTCCGTGAAATGGCAACAAAATTTTGGGGAACAGAAACCCTCAAAAAGAGATGTTTGAATCCGATATTAGCAAACAGAGGAAGAGAAGATGATCCTGATAATCAAAGATTAATTTTAACGCCAGAAAAATGTAAAGTACTTAAAGGTAATTTTTATTTATACCTATTCATAGCTATGTATACATTTTATTGTTAAATTTAATTAAGTAAAAAATATTTTTTAATAAAAATTTACACGACTATAGGATTCTTTATAGGATCTTTTATAGGTAATCTGAGAGGTCACTTGCTTCATTTCTCATATGCAACACCCATAAGTTTCTTTTAAACAGATCCTATAAACGGTCTTGTATGGATGAACTATAAGGTCTTCTTCAAGGTATTTTCATTAGAGTTAAATTATAAATTAGTTAATTATTTTAATTTTAGTAAAAATAATTAAAAATAACTCTTTATAAATGATTACTTTCAGCATGTTTAGCTGACAAATTAACGGATTTGAAGGTAGAAGGAAGACATCGAGCAAAAAGAATGAATGCAATCAACTCATACCTGCGATCCAAATTATACGATGTTCAAAGGAAACGTAAAAATTAAGATTAAAATGTGACTAGACTATTTCAACAAAATTTTAATTATAATTTGTTTTAGAAAAAAGAAATACCAAATTTTATATTTAAGAAAACGGGCTATTAAAAGCCTCATGCAAAGCAAAAATTGAGGCTTTCTATAGAATAAAGGGACGAGCGCGTGGTTGAAAGGGATAATACCAGTCAGGTAGCAGTGAGCGGCTCAGGGCTGATTGGTATTATCCCATTCAACCACGCGCTCGTCCCCTTATTCTATGGAAATTTTGAGGTTGAGACACTTTTAAATAAAACTTTTTTAAATTAAGGCTAATTTAAATAATATTATATATTAATATTATCGAGAATATTATATCATTATATTATATAAAAAAAACATTGTTTTATATTTCCAATTAAATATTATTTTAATAATTACCCATTATCAGTCCCAAAACTTCCTTCAATTTGATACTATTAAAATACAATAACATTTTTTTAAAAAATAATATTACCTGTTGTAAAAGTTATAAACAAAAAAAGTTGAAGGTGTAAGTTATTTTAAAGAATATCGGATCCTACATCGGATTCTATGTCGGATCCTACGTCGTATCCTACGTAGGTTACTATCCCAATTTCCGACATAGGATCCGCCGTCGGATCCTACGTCGGAACTTACGTCGGTACCTATGTCGGATCCCATAACGGATCCAATGTCGGACCCTACGACGGACCCTGTGACGGATCCTATGACGGAATTTTTAGTAGGGGTGGGATCTTAGACTATATGTATTTAAAAATAAAATAAATAAAATAAAATGAAGTTAGTTATAAAAACTGACACAAGTTGTTTTTTATTTAAATGAATTACCAAATTGTATCGAATGTCAACTCCAAATTTCTGTAGCAGATTTTTCAATGTTTTTAAAAAGATTATAAAGGTTTTATAAATATTGAACTTATTAAAATCTTTGCAGTATCAATATGAGAAAAGCTACATTTCAAGCTAACGAATATTATCCCATGGTATGAATTGTAACAGAAAAATCTGATAAAATTATGTATATATAATAGAAAAACTTGTATTAAAAAATTAAAGGTATAAAAATAACAATTTGGACTGTAAAAAACACAGGCACACAAAAAAAAAGTTGTCTGTTTCTTGAACTACACATATATTTCCTATAGTATTTTGGCCCGCTGAAACCGAATCTGAGGTCAGAATTGCTCCATCACCCTCAGTTTTTTTTTAAATCGACCAAAACCACCCTTAAACGGAAAAATTCACACTTCGGAGATAAAAAATAAATCAACTTATTTTTTAGAAAAACCAAATTTTACATCTACGAAACTTTGCTCCACTAACTCAAAAACAAAGCCAGCATTGATCCTGCACCCCCTGAATTTTTTTAATCGAAAAAACTACCCCTAATCTGAAGAATCAAATTCAGGAGGTAAAACAATAAAATAACTGATTAAAAATTTTTATAACCAGGTATTTTTACTCCAGCAAGGCAGAAACAAATCCAGAAATGCTCCCTCACCCTCTAAATTTTTTTAAATCGAAAAAACCACCCTTAAATAGAAAAATTCAAATTTAAGAAGTAAAAAAATAATACTTTACCGGCTTTTTTTAAAAACAGAACCTTACATGTTTGTAGTTTTGCTCTACTAACTCAAAAAAACAAAGCCAGCATTGATCCAGCACCCCCTGAATTTTTTTAAATAAAAAAAACTACCCTTAATCTGAAGAATCAAACTTAGGAGGTAAAACAATAAAATAACTGTTTAAAAAATTTTATAACCAGATATTTTTACTCCAGCAATGCACAAACAAAGCCAGAAATGCTCCCTCACCCTCTAAAATTTTTTTAAATCGAAAAAACCACCCTTAAATAGAAAAATTCAAATTTAGGAGATTAAAAATTAAATAACTGACTTTTTTAAAACAGAACCTTACTACATCTATGTATTTTCGCTCCACTAACTCAAAAACAAAGCCACCATTGATTCATCAACCTCTGAATTTGTTTAATCGAAAAAACTACCCCTAATCTGAAGAATCAAATTCAGGAGGTAATACAATATAATAACTGATTGAAAAATTTCACAGCCAGTTATGTTTCCGCATTGCTGGAGTAAAAATACCTGGTTATAAACTTTTTTAATCAGTTATTTTTTTGTTTTACCTCCTAAGTTTGGTTCTTCAGATTAAGGGTAGTTTTTTTTATTTAAAAAAATTCAGAGGATGATGGATCAATGCTGGCTTTATTTTTTTGAGTTAGTAAAGCAAAACTACATACATGTAAGGTTCTGTTTTTAAAAAAAGCCGGTAATTTAATATTTTTTTACTTCTTAAATTTGAATTTTTCTATTTAAGGGTGGTTTTTTTGATTTAAAAAAAATTTAGAGGGTGAGGGAGCATTCCTGGATTTGTTTCTGCCTTGCTGGAGTAAAAATACCTGGTTATAAAATTTTTTAATCAGTTATTTTATTGTTTTACCTCCTGAATTTGATTCTTCAGATTAGGGGTAGTTTTTTCGATTAAAAAAATTCAGGGGGTGCTGGATCAATGCTGGCTTTGTTTTTTTGAGTTAGTAGAGCAAAACTACAAACATGTAAGGTTCTGTTTTTAAAAAAAGACGGTAATTTATTATTTTTTTACTTCTTAAATTTGAATTTTTCTATTTAAGGGTGGTTTTTTTGATTTAAAAAAAATTTAGAGGGTGAGGGAGCATTTCTGGATTTGTTTCTGCCTTGCTGGAGTAAAAATACCTGGTTATAAAATTTTTTAATCAGTTATTTTATTGTTTTACCTCCTGAATTTGATTCTTCAGATTAGGGGTAGTTTTTTCGATTAAAAAAATTCAGGGGGTGCAGGATCAATGCTGGCTTTGTTTTTGAGTTAGTGGAGCAAAGTTTCGTAGATGTAAAATTTGGTTTTTCTAAAAAATAAGTTGATTTATTTTTTATCTCCGAAGTGTGAATTTTTCCGTTTAAGGGTGGTTTTGGTCGATTTAAAAAAAAACTGAGGGTGATGGAGCAATTCTGACCTCAGATTCGGTTTCAGCGGGCCAAAATACTATAGGAAATATATGTGAAGGGTAGAATGACAAAAGGGGTCAAGCGCCAATTCACTGTTTTTACAGGAAGTAAAAAAAACATTTTTAAAAATTTTGTAGGTTATTTAAAAAAAAACTGAGAAAACCGTTTCGATATATTAGTATGTTTTAATAAATAAACAACAATTTGTTGAAATAAACCTACATATTAACGATAAAATTAAAAAAAACTGTGGTTCCTTGAGGTTATATCAACTGCGCACATTTTCTTTAAACATTAATTATAAAAAAAATATACAGTTTAAAGAAAAACTGGAAATTTAGTTTCTTTCTATGGAATCGACGAAAAGAATAGAAAAAAAAATTCCTTTAAAAAATTGTTTGTTTTCAAGAAAATTAAGAATTAATTGCTTGCTTTGGAATTGAGCAATACTTTCATCTTTAAATTCAATTGTTCACTTAGTATAACCATAAAAATATTTAAAAATTAATAACAAAATGATTTTAAAATTGTTTAAAATTGAAAATACATTATTATTATTATTAATTTTATTAATTAAAATATTATTAAAATAAAATTAAAATAAAATATTAAAATAAAACCTAAAAAAATAATATTTTTTTTTATTTTGATAATATTATTGACTCACCACTTTCTTTTGTTTTTCAATCAGGTTGCAATAAAGTAAATTTGAGGCTATTTTATTAATTTAATTTTTATTAAAAACTGATTTAAATACGCAATAAAAAAGGAAATCCTTCTACTGAAATGTGTAAATGAATTTTCTTGATTTTTTTATGCAAAAACCTCATTTTCGATAAATTGGCGCTTGACCCCTTTTGTCATTCTACCCTTCATGTGTAGTTCAAGAAACAGACAACTTTTTTTTTTGTGTGCCTGTGAAATAGTCAGTACAAGTTGATAGATTAAAAAATGAATATTTTCTAACAGTTTCAAGCAAAAATCGTTACACGTACCATTAAAAGTTGAATTTTGATAATAATTGCAATTTTTGTCAATAAAAAACTATTTAGGCCATATAACCTAAGATTTAACAAAATCATTTTGCATAAATCTTTGTCATGGATGCAAATTGTTACGAATAAAATTGCTTATACTTTTACTAAGAAACATTTTAATTTATATTTATATTTTTAATTTAAAAATAAGAAAATCGGAAGATTGTTTAACTTTTAGTTTGATTGTACATTTTATTCTTCCTTAATGAATTTATTATTTTAATAAACCATAAATTGATTTTCTAAGTTTGTTATTTATGATTAATAACACAGGCACACACACAGTACGATATCTTTCTGGAAGCTTCCCGGAAAGATTAACGAGGCTCAAGTAGAAGTTTCCAGGAAGATTAGGATGTCCTTCTCACAAGAAGCTTCTATCGGAATCGTCATGGAAAACTTTATGGAAGCTTCCACCAGAATCTCCAGAGTAGCTTCCCTGGAGCTTCCGGCGGAAGATTCATTTTCATAATATTTTGAAAGGAACCAAATTTCTCCCTTTAACTATAATAATGTACAAAATTTTAAAAAGCACTTAAAAAAAATCTTTAAAAGTTTTTAAATGAATCTTCCTCCGAAAGCTACAAGGAAGCTTCATGGGGACTCCGGTGAAAGTTTCTTTGATGATTCCAGTGGAAGCTTCCTGTGAGGCGGACATCCTAATCTTCCTGGAAGCTTCCTAGAAGCTTCCATTTAAGCCTCGCCGATCTTTCCCGGAATCTTCAAGAAAACTTCCAGGAAGATATCGTGCTTTATGGGTAAAGTAAATAAATAAAATAAATTAATAAAGTAAACAAAAATATTTAAATAAATAGTCGTATAATAGCCATTTAAATTTCATTTTCATAAATATAATTATTTAAATAGGTTATATGAATACAAATCTGGAATTCCTAGCGGTATGCAGTAACATTTAAGAAATAAAAATGGAAGTAGCGGAGGAGGAGGTATAAAACTTCTATATATTTGTGTATTCTTTTATCCATAAACTCAGTTTAATTATGTAGAAACTTTTTCTTAGATGTCTGAAATTTAATCGGGGATTAATGATGTAGAAATGGAAGAGCAGTCATCATTATCTGTTTTATCGTTATCATCTTCACTTGAAGCTAATGAAAGTATTGTACCGTCGATGACATCACTGTTATCAGAACCATCATTACCTCTATCCTCTGCCCAAGATGGTTCAGCGCTGATTTCATTATTACCTCTCGAAGATAACAATGATAACATTAGTATTGATGACGAAATGTCATTCGTGTCATCAATT